AAGCAAGCACCTCTCCAAATCTCAAATTGGGAATGAGACATGAAAACAGAATAAAGCTCACTAGCTCACTGCTGATTTGGTCTGTATCCAGTGAGAGTTGCAAACCCCTAGTTATCTTGTATTTTATTCCTTTGAAGTCGCCTTTATTTTCTTTTTTTAGTCTTTAAGTTCCTGTTCCTATGACCTCCCAGACATCTAATTTCCCAGAATATGGTTTCTTATCTTTGACAACTACACCATGTTCAGCTCATAGAAACTGAGCAAAACAAAATAAGTCTATCAGCTTCAAAACATATGTATAGAAACAACAAAATCTTATCTGCAAGATTTCTTCAGTTTTTACTTGTAGTTTTAGATCTTTTATTTATTAAAGAGTTTTCTTTCCCATAGTGACACAACCAAACTGCAATCAAGGAACTACTAGAGGAAAAAAAAATTGGAGATAAGGAGATACTGGAGCAGTATCACAGAAGGAGTTACTTGTACTGTGGTGTATTGTCTAGCTTAAAAATTCAAGGTAGTGCTAAGTCAGGACATGCATCTTGGCAAACTTCAGCTGTGCTTTTCCCAGAACAGCTGGATGGACCTGCCAAGAGGAAAATCTGCTGCCGAAGCACCTTGGAGCTGACGAGAGTAAAGTCCTGCTCCCAGCTGGGTGTCAGTTCTGTCCTGTTGGGTGCAGAGTGCCAGAGGGGTCAGCGAGAGCAGGGCAAGATCGGAGCCTTCACAGGGTGATGTGAAGAGAAGGAGCAGGAAGGAAAACTTTGAAGGAATATACAAACAGAAAATCTGTGGAGAGGGAGAGACAGAAAGGAGATGGTGAGGTAGAGAGAAGAAAACGTTGAGAAAACAAGGACAGTGTGTCAAGTAAAAAGGAAATCCCAGAAATGCAGATAAGAGAAAGGAGAATAACAAAGCCAGAAGGCTTTAAGGCTTACTTCCTCAATGTACAAAGCAGCAGAGATATCATGCTGAGCTTGCTCAGCGGAAGCACAATGTGAAAGAACAGAAAATAACCAAAGGAAGCTGTTTATGGCCTAACTTTATGATAAGTAACATAGACGACATCTGTAAGTATAGCTCAGTGTGGGTTAAGGCGTTGGGGTAACCACATCCACACCTATACTACATTGACTCTGTTCCTGTTTGCTTCAAGACAGCAGTGATGGAGATTAGACCATTTGTAATCACTTCACAGCTATAAAGTTTTGTTTGACCATGCAAAGGTAGTTAAGAATAATTTATCCCTAGTGCAACTATATGTATTCACTGGAGTTACTCAGAGGAGAAGCTGGTGTGCAGTATTTATAATAGAAGCAATTAGCACTGAAGCACAAATGTTTATAGCAGACTTCACTGTGGCTCGTTTTTAATTATTTTACAACTTATGTACCAGTTTAATTATATAGCTGAGTTAAGCTGTATAAAAGTGACATTGTTATGATACAGTCACTTGAGATTCTGGCTTTTATAGCTTACAGGACCAAGCATAATCTTCAGAGAGCTCCCATTGTCATTAGAGCTGAGAATGTTTAGCATCTTGTAGGAGCATCTTGGCTTCTTAGAAGGTTTACCCAGTACCGGTTGTCATTGAAAACAACATGATGATGCCATAACAATAAAACCTGACGTAACATGTTCTTCAAATCTACTTGTCTAGTTCTATAAAAGTTTCAAGCAAACAAGTTTACGTGGTTTCTCACCCCTTCTCCCCAATTGCACTACCTGCATACTGCAGCCTAAACACAACCTTTTAGGATTCCCATTCCCAGCTGCTCTGTGCACCAGTTAAGAATGTGTACCCTGAATGGAGGTCAAGAGTTGAGAGATATTAAAGAACGAATCCATGAAGCTAAGAAAAAAAGCTATTTTTCTAGTAGATGACTTTCACTGGAAAAGGTACCTTAGCTTTACTATGTCTACATAATCGGTTCCTAGAAAGAGTAAGGAAGAACTGAAGAAATTTATGTCTCTGTATCTTTCTGATGTGCTGTTCACTGCAAGGCCACTTCAGTGGTCTTTCTTATGAGAGGCACTTTGAATGTCTAAGATACAGTTAATAGGTAATATGCTAGATTTAATTAGTGTCCTACTTAAGTGAGGAGTCTTACTGAGCAGATTTAGAAAAGTTGAATTTTTATCATCTGTTTCCTAGATTAGCATGGAGCATGGTTTCCTCTGGGACCGAGTAAATTAGTAGTGTGTTATCAAAGCTTATGGAGCTAAGCCAATCTACTGCTGCTGAGCTTTCTGTGGGCCCTTCTCTCTGAATTTCCTAGCTAAACAATGGTGTTGCTGGTAATTTCTCCTTGTCTCATCCAAGGCAAGAACGCATCTACTGGATTGATTGTGTTTTAAGACCTGTTTCTATCTGCCTTGATGCTGAGTTTCCAGCCCTCTCAGAATGGATACCAGCATGAGGCTCTTGACCCAACTCCCCCACTGAAGGGACCTGTTGGAGCTTACGCTGGGGTGGGAGCAGTGACGTGGAGTGAGTGGTACAGCATTTGCATGGGCACACAGGGCAGCTGGTACAGATGAATCTGCGTAGTGCTGCTTGCTCCTAGAGTGCTTCCTGAGGCAGATGATCCTCTTAGTGGGGGTTAGATGAAGCTGACTGGGCAGTCATTGATGCACAGGGAGTCACGGCCAGGAGACATTCCTTTTTCTCCTGGGAAGAGAGTGGTTAGTCCTGAAGGGAAGTACATACAGCTGATGGTTCTTTGGTGCTGCATATCAGGGACACAGGCTTGTGAGAGATGAAAGGAATGAGACTCTCCAACTTTACTTACTTTGTCTCTTCCATGGAAACAATGAATTAAGTCTATAGAGTACAATTAAGAAGAGCTTGTGCTCTGCATCCAAACAGCAGCACCTGCCCCTCTTGTGTATGAAAACATGGAGACTCCCAAGAGATTTCCAACTGTTTGAGTTACTTATTCTATTTCTCTACATGGAAGAGATTTTCTTGTCTTTTTGTCTTTGCCCTTTCTGTAATGTATTGCCAGTGAGGCTTATTTAACAAAAGTATTGTCATATATGCATATCTATTAGTTGCCAGATCATGTTAAGTCTCAGCTGGTCTGTTTTCCTCTGTCAAACTTAATTACAGTCCAGGAGACAACATAACATGACACAAGTGACAAAAATTGACACAACATGTCACAACAAAATGTGTCAGCCTGGAATATACAGAAGGCAGTTCCCCAAGCAAAGAAGTGATCCCACCTGTCCCCCAACTCTTCTCTCAGCTTCCTCTCCTATACGGATGAGTTCCTGGTTCTCAGCTTGACTCATGTTGTCTAAAAATTAAATTGTTTTCTTTCCTTATTGCCTGTCAAATCAGAAGTCATGTCCTGTATATTATTTACTAAATGTCCTTTTTCGTATATTATTGTTCTATAAGGCAATTCCTGCAGCCTTGTTTACATCTGGCCTTGTTTCTAATTCCTTCTAGTTCCTGTCTAGCTTATAGCTCCCTACATCAAACCATCATCTTCAGTCAGACATCACATCTGCTCTCCTTGTTCTTGATCAGCATTAATGAAACACCCACCACTATTACATTCCTTTGGGCTTTATTTTTCTTGGCTACGTAGTAAATAATTTAGATTCTGAAGAGATAACAAAATTATCTGCTTGGGTTTTGTTGATATTCTGCAAAAGCTACAGTCTTAAGCTGAACGTTACAGCCATGTCCTTTACAGTCAGAGTAGATGTTGGGACTAGTATGAGAAATTCTCTTCTAAATATATTTGAGAGAGGGAAAGATTTTCTTTAATCATATTAATGATGTCCTCATGATCAAGAAATATGTGAAACAGGCAGTTTCTCCAATAATGATTCTCTCCCCGAGAGATTTATTTTGCATTGGTGAGTGAACATCAGTCCAATTTCTTACACTGGCCAGCCTCCACTGAAATTTTGTTTTGATTATGAGATGCCATATTTCAGAATGACTTCAAGAACTTGCATTTGTTTGACTAAGTGTCATGGAAAGCTAACAGCTGAAAAATTGTAATGTGGAAGGAACATGTATGAGTGCTCATACTTATGAATTAACTCCCCTGTTAACAGAAAACTCTTGAATCAAAATCAATTGATTCCTATCATATGTTTTGGGGTATTTTTTCCTTTTTTTTTTCCCCTGATAAAGAAGGGGAGCATTTGGCTTTGTGAACGAATTGCTTTATTGATTTACTACTGAAGTTGCTGAATCAGCTATCTTGTTAGTGTTGCTTTTTAGGACAGCAAAAATAAAGAGGTATAATTAAATCCAGATAATGCATTGCCAACCTCATGCAGCTATTGAGCCTAGCTATATATATATATACATGCCTCTTTGTATAATATACTGGTTTGGCTTTGGAAAGACAGAAGTCTGGGTTGTTGCATTACTTTGCTCCTCTAAATAATTGATTCAAACAAGTGATACAGTGGAGAGCACAGCTAATATATTTGCCTTAAAATTATTGAACTGAACTAGCCAATCTTGATTTTCTTTAATTTAAAACTGAACTTCAGAAATTCTCAGTTAAATATTTTTAAAGTTATAAGATGGAGATCTGAAAAAATGCAGATAAGAAAAGGTAATTGCGATTAAGTGTAGATGACAGACTATTGTTTTGACCTGGACAAAAGACATGGATACCATCTGAAGCAGGCTCAGTAAACACCAGGTGCATTTCGATCTGAAAGGCTGGAGTGTGCGTCTGTGCATAACTCATAAGCACACCTCAATGGAGCATTTTGAGAAAGGAACTGCAATTAATGAATTTGACTGCTGGAGCTGGGAAGTCAAGGTAAGAGAAATGAGAAACCAATATGATAAAATGAACAAACACATTAATAAAGCTAAAACAACAATATGAACTTAAAAAAAAATTCTTAAGTTTCATCATGACTTTTTCAAGCTTCTGGAGTGAAAGGAGTAAGGCCTGTCTCTGTTTTGGCACTTATATTCTGGTCAAAAATGAAGTTGTGCTTCAGATCTGCTTGATTTACTCTGATGTTTCATTTCCAGTGTTCACAGCTGAGCCACAATTGCGACACAGATTGTTCTCTTCTGTTTCAGGTAATTTCTTCTCTGCTGGAGGAATATATAGATCTTTCAAGAGGGAAAATTTCTTGTCCCGCAGGGCTTCTGCTACATCCCACAGAGCTCTTTTTTCCTTTTGAATCTTCCTGTCATTCTCCCTGAAAGTGATAGATTCTTCCCAGAGAATCAGTTTGCTGCATGAGATAGCCAGCTCTTCCTCCCAGAAGATCTTGTCCTTCTTCCAGGAAGCCATATAGTCCTTCCAGAAAGCCTTGTTCTTTCCCTGCAGAGCTTTACTCTTTCCTTGCAGGATTTTGTTCTTCTCATAAATGGCTTTATTCTTTTCTTGGATATCTTGACTGTGTTTTAGGAAAGCCCTGACTGCAACCTGACCAGCCTTATTCCTTTCTTCAAGAACCTTGATCTCCTCCTTAGCAGCCTTCATTGTTTTCCAAAATCCTTCAAGCTTTTCCTGAATGCTACCAACTTGTTCCTGGAAAACTTTTTTTTTTTTGTATGGAAGTCCCTAATCTTCTGTGGGAAGCTGTTGCTTTCTTCTAAAACAATCCTGATCTCTTCCACGCCAGCTTTGTTCTTTTCCTTGAAGATTTCTATTTCCTTCCATAAGGCTTTGGTCTCCTCCTGAAAGGCTTTGATCTCTTCATGGAATTTCTTATTTGCATTGCAGAAGGCTTTAATTTCCTTCTTGAATCCCCTTTTCTCTTCTTTCAAAAGATGCTTCTTCTGGAAATTGGATAATTTTGCCTGGAAGTTCTTATTCTGTGTCTTTGAATAGCAGAAAGCAGGTGTTTCACTACCTTGTTTTATTTGCTCCATCCTTTGATTATGTTTTTGCTTCCTTTCATTTGGATTATAACTGGCACTATAGAAACTGGATGCTTGGATCTGACAGGGTGAAGCAACAAAGTCTTCAAGGACCAATGCACTGTTACGCAGGACGCAGGCTGCTTCTTCCAGTGAAACAGGGAAGGTGTTTGTGCAAAGACACTGTTAGGATCCCTAAAGCAAGTTCAAAGAATACAAAAGCATGTAGCATTAGCTATAAATTCCATGAACTGTAATTAAGCTGTGTTACATTAAGAAATTCTCAAATAAAACTAATCAGGCCATTCCATAAATGTAGTATGAGTCAGGCTATTAAAAATTAATGGTGAATGATTTTCCAAAGTGACATGTTATTTGGTACCTCTATTTTCAGAATTGAATGTGATGTACTTAAAAGGAGCTTGTCACACAGTGTGCCACTAGTCACAAGCATTGTATTACCTTATCACCAATTCTTTACCAAAGACCTTACAGCTGTGCTGCTGTTTGCATCGACAAATCTGTTCACCGAGTACTGGGCACTGTGTGCCTTAATTTTAAAGGAAATTGTACCTTTTAAATTGTACCTTCCTTTTAAAGGAAATTTGTACACAAATACTTGCCTTCTACACCTGTACTTCTAGTTTAGTAGTACCATGAGCATAGCCCAAGGGGAAGAACAGTTTATGTTCTATGAATTATGCTCTGTGAGGAGATATGAATTCTTTGCACAGGTGTTTAAATGTACTTTGTCATTTTTGATCATTCTTTCAGGAACACTTCTGTATCTTTTCTGTTTTAGATTTTATCTTTTAAGGTTTATGAATTAATGATTCCATGAAATACACTGAACTCTTGCAGCTAATGACCTTTTTTCACCCCATAGACTACTTCTGTTAGCATATGTGAGCGCATGTGTTTGTGGATATAGGAGGAAAGTTTTGTTCATTACAGTAGTATGGTAATTAATGGGAATATAGAGGTGCAATCCCATGTAATTTGCACTTCAGGTACTTCTATTTATACCTAGTTGTTTGGAAAGCAGAGTTAACAGATTCAGTAATACTGTATTGTTTGCAAGGGATAAGGAAAATCAACTTAATACTATAAGTAACATATGACCTAATGGCTGTGAGGAAAATCTGGCTTTGCTAATAAGCAGTGAATATCTCACACACATCCATGAACTCTGCTTCTGGGAAAACCAGGCAGATTCACTATTGAAGTTCTGTTTGGTGCACAAAATGTTCAGGGTACACTTTCCTAAAAATATGTCACGAGACCTTTCTCTGAAAGACCTTTCCCAGGATGGATGAAGTGGTTAGCACGTCTGTATCTCTCACTATCCTGTGGTGTTACATTTTAAAAACTAGTTTTTAAGACATATAAGATACTTTGGATCCCTTTTTTTTGTAGACTAATTTGCTTACTCTTTTTATCTGTAAATCAAATCTTCAGTATTAAAATATGAGTAAATATTTTCTGCACCATAACCGACCCCCTTCTTGGTCACTCTTGTGCTGCCTTTGTTAGCAGAGCTCGCATCCTGCAGGTGAGGAGCTTGGAAACCATCGCAGCCAGTTCTAGAATGCGGAGTAGTTGCTAATCATCCCTAGTTGTGAAGTCAGGCCATATGGGTTTCACTTCTCATTTGTTGGCCCTAGCCACCTCTCAGGTCTGGATCCAACATGTCTGATGGCAGAAAAATCACAAAATAGGAGTATTTGAATCTAAGGACAGAATTTGGAAATTGTGGTTTTCAGTTATCACTAGTTTCGTTAGTTTCCCATCCAGAAAATCAAAGGTTGACTCTTAAACTAATTTAATATTAACAAAAACATGTGGTCCTTCATGACTTAAAGCAGCTGAAGACTGAATTTCTTTCTAAAGGGAGCCTTTGTTTCAACAGCAGTTACTGATTTGATGCAGCAGTTTACCAAATGTTATTCTTTGGCCTGTGTTATGCAGGAGGAAAAGCTCTTACTACATAATTGTGTCATCTCTAACTATAAAATGTCTCATGTTGGTTGTTCTCAGTTATTGTGTGGGTTGTTTTTTGTTTTCCTTTGCAACTTTGACTGTCCACAGTGCTGAAAGAGGATGGTTTTTAATGCTTATTTTTTGCCTAAAAGTAAACAAACTGTCTTTTTCTTTCATTGCAATAAATTAATTCCCTGTATTTTATTTTCTAGCTGTCTTAAGCAGGTTTTAAGTCTTAACATTTTCTGTGGTTATGTACTATTGGCCCATTCTTGGGCTTCCCTGCATAACTTTTATATCTTCTTCTAGATAAATTGACTGTACTCTTTAGAAACTTTGAACCAGAAATGCATAGTGGGACAAAGCTAATTGGGCAAATTCAAAAGTGGGATAAAACGAATTAAACCCAGAATAACATGAATATCCAGTGAGAGGTTTGAGTTCAAGCCCCCTCTGGAGTTAACGCTATTTTTGTGAAGTATTCCGTATTCTGTGATTAAGGAATAATCCCGCAGCTGTCAGTGAACACAAGTCTTTACACCATTGTATGTAGTCTTCTGTGTACCTATGGACAATCTTTTTCTTCCATTAAATCTACTTTCCTTCTCCCTTACAACTTGCCAACATTTGATCAAACATCAGCATTTTTTCTATGTGAACCTTCAGGAACTCATTTCTCTGTTGCTCTCCCAGAAGCCTGAAGAAATCCATTAAGGTCTTGAAGCCAACGTAAGTCACTTTTATTTTCCTGAAAAATAGGGAGAAAGACTGTGAGGAAAATAAACTAGTGCATTCATATTTTTTTTTGCAGTGCATGCACACGGGGTGAGTTTCAGCATAATCAAAAACTGATGAACTGTGTATGATGATCTTGGAGAATTTTCTTCTTCGTATTTCTTTGAAATCTTCCCTGAGGTGCCGTGTTTCTAATTCTAGTGTAAAACTAATTTAAAGTTGGCCCTGCTTTAAGCATAGGCTTGGGCCAGATGACCTCCAAAGGTCCCAACCTAAATTATTTAATGATTCTAATGTTGGTTTTAAAATATTCTACAGAGTGTTACTGAAAAATGTTTTTGTGCCCATCAAAGACCTGCTGATCCTAAAAATGTTGCTCTTTGGCAGCTGATCAGCACAGAAGTTTCAGAGCATCTTTTGGATTAAGTCATTATGCTTGACATCTGCATCACCTCAGGCTAACACGAATGAACGAGCACTAAAAAAGGTAATGGTTTACTTTCTCACTGAAATCAACAGTTCATGGAATTATCCCAAAGAGAGACACGATATATACATGAGAGAAAATGGGCTGTTGTGTATCTGCGATGATTACTCTGGAAACTTCAGTATTAGTGCTTCATTATCTGAGCTCATTTTGAGTACAAGGAAGGGAGAATTAGACAGACATATTCCTTTCTTGAAAGAATAGATATGATTTCAAGGGAATATGTAATGCCATTTTATGGAGCTGTGAGTGTCCAAACACTGCAGAGGTCAAAGCCCCCTCTGTACTCAGCTCAGCTTTACCATAGAAATGTTTTCTGCCTGTCATTTATGCATTTACCAGACTGCCTTGCCTTCTTTCTCCTCTGCCCTCTCTCTCCTCTGTTCTCCCCTTTTCACTTATTCCACAATACTTTGTCATAGGAACTGTCAGTAGAAGATAGCAGGAATGTGGATTCATATATCTGATTTCTGTAACTTCCTTGAAAAGGAATGAATTATAATGTATAAATGAATATTTTGATCACTTCCAGAGAATGAATGCTCTTACGGCACTCAGAGGAGTGAAACCACGATTATTTCTAAGCATTACCCTCTTTTCAGTCTCCCAGTATCTGTTAGATTTCATCCCTTGTGTACATCTTTGAGCTAGCTGGTATGTATGTGTTTCATGTCTTTTGATTATGAGATGGACAGTGCCCCAAACCTCGTCATGTGCAAGAACAATTATAGATCCAACATTTTTTTGAGTTAATTTTATTTTTCAATCTAAAAGACAACTCTCTAAGTATATTCACCATTTTCACTGATTTTTAATGAAAGAAAATTACTAACAAAATTTCACTATCATTTTGTTAGGAGAAATAGAAACTTCCTGGTTAAGACTTATCCTTGATGGAGGTAAAATTTAGCGACTTTATCCACCTGCTGGTGAGTTAGGACCAGGCAGTCAACTGGTGCTGTCACATCAGAGAAAACAGAGAAAATGGAGACAATTAACTGAGATTTTAAAAGGTCAACAGAGGCAATTTGGAAATAAAGGACTAAGGATTTCAAAGACTGGTCAAGGCTTTATTAGGTTAAGAAGGTGGAAGTGACTCTAAGCATGCAAGTGTCTCATCTTTGGTTTCTGGCTGTGAATGCACTTTCTTCTGTGAATATTTTTACTTTCTGAGGAATTCCTGTTTCTCTTTCTGAAGTTCCCTCTTCCAAAGGTCTTTCTGTGAATATTTTTACTTTCTGAGGAATTCCTGTTTCTGAAGTTCCCTCTTCCAAAGGTCCAGCCCAACTGTTGATTCATCTAGACCGTCTCCCCAGATCTTCACTTCCTCCATTAGTATGGTCTTGCCGTTCCTCCAAAGGACTATGTCTTTTTTCCAGAGTGTCATATTCTTTTTCCAGGCAACTTTATTCTTGTCTTGGAAGGCTGTGATCATATTCCTGGTTTTTTCTGATAATGACTTGGTATTTTCTCTCCTTTTTCTCCTTTTCTTCTTCCTAAGGCTTTGGTTTTCTTTCAGTGATGTTACAGCCTTCTCCTGTAAATCTGTGATTAGCTGGCTTGCCATATTCTTGAAATTAACCATTAGCTTGTAACCAAAGAAGAGAGATGATCTAACAATTTGGGAAACTGTAAAGTACCATCTTGAAAGTGACATGACCACAAGCCAGTTTGTGATGTGAAGAGGAACCTATAATGGCAATTACAAAACTGAGTTAAAAGACAAAACCATAATCCTATCAATGATTTTGCAGCATAGCAAAAAATTACGTCAGTATATTATAAAATTTATTTTATTGCAACCTCTATA